GGTGTGGAGTGGGGTGGGAGGGGGGCAAGGAAGGTTAAAATAATTGAAAAAAGTTTATCTCAATTAAGTATTGTGATCTGGAGTTTTAAGATACATTTAGTAGAGCGTATAAGAATAATGTTAAAGAGACCCTTCACAATTATGGTGGAAAAGATGTAATAAGGCAATGGAGTCTTTAACCGTGCTAATGCATATATTAAAATCCTTGCATTACTAATAGCTAGAAATTCATGGTATTAGTAATACACACCTTAATACACAATAGAGCAAACATTAGTTATACATAACATGAAAAAAATGTACCAAATAAGATATTACTAATATACAGAGTTAATGGATGCATTATTTTTATTAATACACTACCAAAAACGATTAGGGATCAATACCTCGCTTAATACATGTTTTCCTTGGGGAAAAATTTTCAGCACTACATTGACAAAGCCACGATATCTTCAAATGAACTTGTATTCCAGCACCCGGAGTTCAGGGGGTAAAGTTTCATTTTCAGTTACTTTAGCAACATTTTCAAACGAATCCAAGACAATATGGATCATCATGTCGCATGAGTTCATCTGCTACTTCTTTAAGTCGATAATTCTGCTTCCATTTCCACCAACTGGAAAACAGAATCTTAACTAACCCCACGCCTCGACTTCCCACATACCATCCAACACGAGATATTATTTGCCAATCAAACATTTGCGCAACATATCAGCCAGACTGTCACTGGAATGCACATGGTGCTTTCACACCGGCGACTTGCCCAAAGATGTCGATAGCAGCTGTGTCATATTATATGTTTGTGAGAAAGTACACCATGCTAGAATGTCAAAGCGAACAAAACAATAGAAGGATCTTTGAATATCTTTGTGACCAAAGTTGCCTTCCCTAGACCAGGCATGCCAACAATAGATATACTATCCAAATCCTCTGTTTCTTTAGTCAGTAAATGAATTAGCATCTCAGCATCATCCTCAAACCCCACAGGTTCCTCTTCAGTTATTTGAATACATGTTGAGGAGTTGGAGCATTGGCATCGATGTTAACGTTCTCCATCCTAATAAGCTTTGATCTCTTTTCTGATTGTTCAGGTGGAAATGCTTGATATCAGAGAGCAGTGTTGCCTGACATGAATTAGAGCAATGACATGGTCATCTCCATTCTCCAGTAAGCAATAAAAAACCAATAATTGTGGAGGAAGAACCATAATTATCAGGAAGCAAAATGCAAACAAAAGTAATTCTCCAGTTGAACTTCATACAAAGTCCAAAGATTAGGAACTCTTAGTTCTATGACATAGATTTGTAAATTGCTTGTTATTACCAAATTAAAAAAAATAAAAAAATATTTGATTCTTTTCTTTAAATGTTCTTATTTCTTTTATCATGAATCGAGCTCTTGAAAAGCTAATCAAGAGGGAAGAAGGATTAGGATTTCTTCAAGTTCTACGGAAAATTAAATAAACCAGAACTCAAGGTGCAAGTACAAGAGAAAAGCAGTTCAATAGAAATGCAAGTCATAGAGATATTACCTTTGTCCTAATAGGGGCTTGACTAACCTAAATTTCTAGCATCATGAACTAGGTATATCCCCAATTTCTATCATCATGGATTATTTATGATCTCAATACATTATGCCATTGAAGTTAAGGCCAGATACAAAGACGAGAAGATAGACAAACCCTTCGGGGTGGCCTAGTGGTTTGGGCTTGGAACTTCCATGTTGGAGGTCTCAAGTTTGAAACCCCTTGCCAGCGAAAGCAAGGGGTTTGCCTTCTGGGTCAAGCTCGTCGCACCGGGCTTGCCTAGTGTGGGTTACCTCTCCTATGTGGTTTGCGAGCTATTGCATAGGAGCGGGGTTTTTACCCTGTGTGCACCCAAAGGGTAGCGGCTGCGGGTTTCCCTTGTCATAAAAAAAACCCGAGAAGATAGACAACTTTACCAGAGAGAGAGCCAAAGATTGAATGAAGAAAACAACTAATTATGGAAGATAAAAAAGGTAAATACATTACATTGTGAATGTATATTTAAATAAGTTACTAGTTTAAACAAGTTGCTCGTGCAGCTTACAAGCAACTATTGAAAGTCTTGTAGTAGCTTCTTCCAGAGACTTGCAATCAAGCAAGTAGCTTCTGTTGGAAGCCTGCAATATGCTCCTCCAAAAAAACAGGCAGCAATTTTTTGAAAAGTTTTGCAGTAGTTCTTTTATATATATACACAAATAAAGAATAAAATCAATTTTTCGAATACATTAACTTCAAGGGATATAAAATGCCTCAAAAATTTGTTCTCTATATTTGTCGTCTTATATGTGTTTGTTATTTTATAACAACTATAGATAAAAGGCACAAACGAACCTGGCAATCATGCAATGTTATCAGTAGAGTTGATGCTGTGTTAGTGGTGTTTCTTCATGAAACAAGCTTCTGGCTCACTAGAATTCACTATGCTCAATTCTTTGAACTCCAATACTAAAACTGCAGACATAAATGCTCCAAACATCAAATAGGAGTTTAACGGCATTGTTGCATTATTTGTCAAAGCAAGGAATACTGCAAATGCTCAGCAGGACACTGCATGTGACGTCTTCCTTCTAATGACTTAAACCCCAACATAGTCAACTCAATCCAAATTCTTCGAGTGATCAAGATTCACAATTTCGGAAATCACTATGAGGAAGTAGAGCCGACCCTGCTATGAGCGGGCTCCTTCCTTATCTTATTTGTTTCCATCAACATTCTAATTTCATTTGCATCATCCCACCTTCCAGCATCGGCATACATGTTATAAAGCAAAACATAAGGGCCTGAACTCTCTGGTTCAAGGCGCATTAGTGCTTCAGCTGCTATTCGTGCCAACTCAACATTGTTGTGCACCCTACAAGCACCTAGTACTGCACCCCAGACAGCCTTATCTGGCTCCACTGGCATAGTGTTAATCACTTTCATGGCCTCCTCAAACTGCCCATCTCGACCAACAATATCCACAAGGGAGCCAAAATGTTCAATCTCAGGTTTGATGCCGAATTCAGATTCCATAGATTTAAAATATAACCGACCTTGTTCCACTAAACCAGCATGAGCACATGCATTCAGAACTGAAATGAATGTGATGTGAGTTGGCCTCACTTTAAGGCACTTCATTAATTCAAAAAGCTCTAGCGCTTCAAATGCAAAACCATGAGATGCATATCCTCCGACCATTGCATTCCATGAGATTACATCCTTTTGAAATTTCATCTTTTCAAAAATTGCCCTTGCTTCATGTATTTTGCCACATTTTGCATACATAGTTATTAGGGAATTGTTTAAAGGTATATCTGGTATAACAGTCTTTGTCACTAACTGATGAATCTGCATACCCAGGAACAATGCCACAGTTTCAGCACAAACACTTAGAAGTGAGGAGAGTGTGTGTCTATCAGGTTTCTCTCCTGCCTGTTGCATCGCCCTGAATAACTTTATTGCTCCTTCATAGTCTGCATTTCTTTCACACCCCGAGATCATTGAATTCCAAGAAACCCGATTCTTGTGGGGCATCCTTTCAAAATAATCATGTGCCAATTCCAACTTTCCCGCCTGTGCATATCCAGAGATGATTGAATTCCATGTTAGTACATCAGGATTTGGCATTTTAGAAAACAGATTTGATGCTTCACTCATATTTGAGGCATGGACATAGCCACAAACCATTGTGTTCCATGAAAATATATCCCTCTCCGTCATCTGATCAAAAAGTTCCCTAGCAGAAACCATATCGTCTGCTTTGCTATAAGCCAGGATCATGGAATTCCACGATACGACATTCCTCTCAAATCTCTTCTTTTTGCTAATTCCCTTACCACTACAAGATGGAACTTTATCAAAAATGCGTCTAGCATCACCAACTCTTCCTTTCTGACCATATCCAGCAATCAAAGTGTTATACGCATGAACCATATCTTCTTTCCCATCACTACTCTCTCCAAATTCATAGAGAAAATGTTCCGCCTCATCCAATTCCTCGTTCTGTATCAACCCCGATACCAGTACACTAAAAGAAGCTGAATCCCTCTCTGGCATTCTCTTAAAATACTCAACAGCAGTTTTCACATCCCCATTACGCAAAAAACCCGAAATCACTGCATTCCAAGACACAACATTCTTCACTGGCATACATTCAAAAACCTCCAATGCTTCACCCATTCTCCCACATTTAGCATACCCACTAATCATAGTATTCCAAGAAACATAATCTCTCTCAGGCATTTCATCAAACAGATTCCTACCCTCCTCTAAATACCCTTTCCCTCTACAAGACAAATAACCAGAAATCATCAAATTCCAAGAAACAACATCTCTCTGTGGCATTTCATCAAACAGGTACCGTGCTTTCACAATCTCACGCTGTTGCACATACCCACTAATCATTGAGTTCCAAGTAACTGTATTTCGATGTATTAACTTATCAAATAATTCCCGAGCATCCTCTAATCGACCATTTCGAATCAAATTTGTGATGTTCTTGTTCGCTCTACGTATATCTGGAGCAGCATCAGAAATCTTGCGCCTCAATGTTGAATGATAACGTATTTTTTGAACTGATTGTTGAACAATTATATATGATGCAATGTCTCTGCTATACAGATAGCTTAGCTGCCTCCTTAAGCTGATTATATTCCTCCACCAAACTGCCATGGCTAGATAATTAGCAGCTCACCACTGCTTTAATTTAGTTGACTGTGTAATCATAAAGTCTATATGGGTTACATATCTGATTTCTAAAATCACTATATTACTTGCACCACCACGTAAATTTAGTCTACATTTGGGAGCAACACATTTCATGTTAGGCATAAATAGCTACTTTCGAATAGGGCCATTCAAAATCCAATGGTAAAAAATAATTGATTTATCAATAATGGATTATTGGTTCAACAATTTTGATAATAGTTTTGATTTTTATTATTGTCGGATTATTTATTCTTAACGTTTTAAGGTTTTTTCTTAACGGGTTAACTGACAATTTGATTGTAAATTAATAAATTATATTTATATTTTTATTTCCAGTTTCAAACTTTTGATTGTTCTACAATGTGTCAGTTTTGTTTTTGAACAAGATGTAATTTATCAACTCATGTCACTGATTTATTTGGTTTGTCATTATATTTCTATGTAATTTTCAATCATTTATTTTTTGAGTCAAATCTTAAAGGTTATATAATTGAGTGGAAAATGATCAGCAAGCAATAAATCGGTAACCGATAAATCATTATTTTAATGGTTCTACAATGGTTTAACAAACCGATAACTTATAAATCAATATCTTAATAGTTCTTTTGGTCTTAATTTATGTGGCAAGTTTTTTTATTTGTTTAAAATATATATATTAATTTTTTTTAGTTGATAGCTATTTAATATCGTCATTTTGCTTTATTTTTATTGGATCTCATTTGACATTTTATTGTGAAGAAAAATCAACTAAAATATACATTAAAGTGATTTAATAAGGACAATTCAGTAAACAAAATAATTTTTTCCTTATTTTTTAAATTCATTGTTCGATAAAACGATATCACATAAATTGAAATAAAAAAAGTACATATTTCAATATGGTTGTTTACAAGAAAATTATTTTTTTGTAAAGTTAATTAGTTATTAGTTCAATTATCGCTCGACGGGGCAGGGTAAAGGTAAAGGGATAAATATATTCCTCAATTTTGTGATTTAGAACATGTATATTAATCATTAAAAAATAATGCACATATACCTTCTTGTTAGATAAATAATGCGCATATATATATATCCTCGTTGCTTAACAAATGGCGTATAGTTATCTCTTTTCTTAACAAATTGAATTAAAAAATAATTTAAAATTAATTTTCTAATTTAAAAAATATCACGTAACTTTAAAAATATTACATATCTTTTTATCTCTCCGATCCATTTCAGACCCGACCCAACTACAAATAATAATTCAATCCCTTTTTTTTCATACTCAATCCAAAATCATTTATTTATATAATTGAATAGAAGAGAGATTGAATTTTTTGTGATAGTGTTAAAAAATAAATTAAAATAGATAAGTCATTAGAAGTCCATGATTATATATTCTTATTTACTCTAATTTGCTACTAATTATTGAATGTGATAATCACAATTTAATTTATACTAAATAGATACCATTAATATTAATTATATGGGTTCCATTGATCCATTTGTTAGGTTGTCTTCAGAGTGAGAAAACGTATTAGACTAAACTTTGTATCAAGTTATAAATTTGATTGTGTAAAATGTAAATTATAATTTAATGTCTTTTTGTAATAGATAAGAGTTAAAGACCATAAAATACTTGTTTATTCTTGTTGGAGTTACTTTAATTTGCTATAAAATATTTTGATCATCAAATGAATAACACCTATGGCTCAAAAAACTAAGTTTTAGTTGACCATTTTAACCAAATTTTAAATTTAATTTTCAAAATTATAATTTAATATTTCTTTTGTAGATAAGTTTATACTTGCTATTTTCTTATATGTCATTTAATTTTTATTGAATATTGGCCAATTTGTGTTCATTAGATATTATTATAATATAAATTCACTGAAATATTCAACTAAACATGCTATAAATAGAAGCATTCACATTATTATTTTCAAGTAGGATTTTTTGGCATTAGAAAAAATATTTTGATATGGCTTTCAAAGTGATGACTTTTTTTCTTATGATCATGGTGATAAAACTTTGTAAGTTTTTTTTCCCTCTTTTATATTATACTTGTTTTAATTTTTTTTAATACATGAATATTACAACCACTTTTTGATTTTTTCACAAATTTCTTTTAATTTTTTCTTGTTTTAAAATATTATGTTCATATATTTATTTGTTTATTTACTTATTCATTTGTTTATTTTTAGGTGAAGTTACACATTCATTAGAGGGAGGAAGAACAAGTAGACGAAAGATTGTTTTTTTTAGGATTAGAATTATTCATGTGAGTATATAAGATGCACCTACTAAAAAACAACATTGTTCCATATTATATTATTTATATGATTTCTTTAGCACTTATAGATAATTCGTAGAATTTTTCGTTGAAAAGTTATCGATAATTTTAGATTTTTTATAAATTTGTTCAAAATAATTTTTGACAAGCACGTTTTCAAAAAAATACGTCATAATTTTGTAGGAAATACGTATTTTTTAGTAGTATATATATTTTTTCGATAAGGTAAAAGCTTCTATGTACATAACATGATCAGTTATAGATTTTTCATTTTTACAGGTGTTTCACCAGACGTTGAGGCAAGAGACGTCAAATTGTGTTGTTTTTGTGAGAAAGATGAAGATTGTAAGAGCTTTTGCCATGGACCTCCGTATCGTTGTGCACTCCATGTATGCGCTTGCTCAAAATATACGTCTCCTAAAATTGAATTGCAAAACTTAATGGGGGAATGAAGAATCAAGACTTATGGACCAAATATTAAAAAATATGAAAAATGCTGAAATTACAGTTTTTTCTTTTAAAATAGCTAATATATAGTTATCTCGATTATATGTAACTTAAAAAAGGTTGATGCTAAAATAAGAAAACTTTCTATCTCTATATACATTTTCCCTTTTTCTTTCCCTTTTTTCATTTTTAAATATTAATTGTTTAATATATGCGTAACATAACACGTATATCTTAAATTATGTAATACTCATAATTGCGTAAAATAATATTAATATTAAAAATAATTGAGATAAATAATTAGAGCGAAAGAATAAAATGTAAGTTTCTATGGATAATAAGTATTGATCATTATTGTCCAATTCGAGTTCATTCTCGTATCAGTGTGGTTAATATATGATTGAATAACTCATTTCTAATATAATACTTTGATATTTTATCTAATTCGTTGCTACATATTGCTGTTTAATTATTGAATTTGTCCTTTTTACTATTTAATTGCTCCTTCTAAATACTATAGCTTGCAGTACACTTTATATAAAATTAATCCTCTATAATAGACATAATCAAATATTGTGTAAATAATGTTCTGTAAGAAATATATTATGTATAAATTAAAAATATTAAAGTATTTATAATAATCATCATCATTAATGTCATGTACATAGTAAATTTTTAAGTCCAAATATATAAAATGAAACAAATTGTATTTTAATAGTATCTATCAACTATGGTCATAATTACTTCATGATATGAAAGGCAATTGATGTTTGTTGATTAATAGTAGTCACCTCATCAAAGCGATTATTGAGTTCTTGACGTTGTCACTCCTTGGTATAAGGTTCCGCAAAATCGCCAATCCTTATTGAACATTCTTTAAGAGAAATTGAATCTTTCCATTCTTATGAAATTAAAGTGTCTAGGAACTTGCGCTGCAAGGTGGTTACTGATCAATATAGAGGTGTTCCTGTTGTTGTATTGGATGAATTCAATGATCCTTAAATCAATGCTTGGACTTTTTGATGCACATAGAAGTTGTCTACTTTGCGAAACCATGGGAAACTTCTGGATTATTAGTGACCATTGTCTCACTGCTTCCTACTGTTTGAGAAATAGATGGTACCTATTCGTTCTGTTTCTAATTAGGCAAGCAAATGATGTTTATTTAATATCATCTCTGGTTCTCTTATCTGTTGAATGTGCTTATACCTTTAAACATTTTGTTTGTTTTTGAGTTCACCAATAGAAATTATGGTAATGGTCCCCTAATCTAACCTCTCCCATATCCCAAACTAAAAAAAAATGTATGGGGAATGATCTCTAAGAAAAACGAAAACAAAAGAACACTTTATACTCATGGGTCCAATATCACAACTTAACCTTTCCTCTTTCATCCTAATTTACAAATCACATGTCTGATGTTTCTTAATATAGATAGTCGTGGTAAATATTTCTCTAGTAAAAGACTTCAACATATTCTCTATTTATAGTATTTGTTCATGAACCACTTTCACTTTCATTGGTTATTAATGATCACACTAGCCCTATACGTTGCAGCAATAGCACCTGGTAATACTTTTGGACATTTAGAATTAAACAAAGCTAATTAATTAGTATTAATAACTTTTGATTACATACACATTTTTACACAAAAATAAGAGAAAAATACTAGACTTAACACTTTGCCAAATGTCATGCCTTCTTTACACCAAAAGAAAAGAAAAATTACTTTGGCAAAAACAATCAAACAAAAGATTTTTTTTCAATCTTCAATGGGACACAAATATGTCATAATTCTGCAACCAAAATGGTCGAAAAAGAAGAATATGTGTTGTTGAAAATGAAAAATATCCCAACCACCCAGAGATAAACGATTCCACAAGTGAAATGTATCTAAACATTTTTTCTGATTGATATCATCAAACGCGGTCATATCGCTTGAATTAATCAATACAGTAGCTCGTGAGACAACTGATGCAACTCTCACCATATTACTAAGCTGTTGTGCATCATCATCATCTGCATCGGTGCCCCCTATTCTGGAGCCGGTGGGTTCACATTGCCATCGGCGCCGTCGCCACGAGCCATTTTTGTCCTCCCATTCTCAGAATCAAAAACTTCTTTGTCTTGGAGCATAAATTATTATTTTTTGGTTCAACTCTTTAATAATCAACTCCATTCTCTCCAATTTTAATTTTGCCATTTTGTAACCCATTGTCAAGCCTACTCCAAAAGTAAGCGTCACAATGAGCATGATAAACCACACACCCAAACAACGAACGTGGTCTGATACTTGAAGTGTCAAACCACCTATGGTGTACAAAAGCAAAAATCCCATGTGATTTACTAGTCCATTCATTATATCATCAGCGTGTTTTTGGGTTTT